GCCCGTATTCTTTTGCTATGTTATTTCATGCATGGCTGAGTGTTTATTTACTATACATTTTCAAAAATAATTAATTTTAGCAGTGATTTGGACCAAGCATGTATGATGTAGTAATACAACAAGTATTTTAGTTCACACAGTGTGACATTAGCTAGTCATGTTAGCTTGTAATATATAGAGCAGAGCTAACTAGCAAGTTAGCCGAACGTTAGCGGTTAGCTGTTTATGCTATGCTAGCTGTTGGCTACTTAACATTAACAAACTGGATTCCGCTGTAAGAAAGCTGTGAAACTTTACATTAAACTTGGCGACAACACTGTGACACCCCGCTGCATGTTTATGTGTAATTCTCCCGTGTTGGAGACGAGAGGTGGAGCGGCAGCACTGCAATAAGCTGTAAGCTAACGTTAGCAGCCACCTTGTTAAACCAGGTTTGGGCGCAACATCTTGCAAGAAACAGCATCTCAGGGCTTCTTAACATTTAACAACCTATTAATGATGCAAACTCAGCTAACTAGAAGAAGAAACGTAACCTTAAATAAAAAATAAAACATTCACAAACTAAGGATTATCTAAATACATGTTTAACTCCATTACAGTTGCAGGACTCACCAGATCTCAAGTCTTCTGTTCTTTGTTGACGTCCCGATGCTCATATTTAACGTGTAGATGTAAAACGATCCCGATATTAATCCATTAATCCATAAACTCCTGCAGCTCCGAGCCGGAGCTGGAAAAGCGCCGGTGTGAAAGGAGCAGACAGCTGTAGCTCCGTCCGCAGGAGGAGACCCGCTCTAACTGACGTGAATGTTTCAAATGTGAACAACAGGCGCGGGCAGTTCTCATTGGCAGGTTTCTTCGATGACGTTTATATTAACCAATCAGGAGTGTTGTGGACTCATTCCAAACATGCCTGACTTGTCTGCCGTGTTATGGCTGAATTCCAATTCAAGTGCCGTAGCTCTGGCTGTCGGCCAGAATCCGAAAACCATGCACATTATACTGCATGAAAGACTAAGGCTTATTACTGTATATTGACCAATGGGGAAAAAAACACAGCAACAGAACACATAAATAAAACAAGGATAACTGTGACTTATTGTTGAGTAAATAACAGTGTGTGTTTTAAACCTGGGTCCTCCCTGCAGAGATTTCTCCACTTTCTAAGATTTTTATTTTTTTTAATGATATTGTCAACTGTAGATGTTTACAATATAGTAAGTTAGGAATTTAATGAAAACATATTTATTTACTTTTGTTTCAACATTGGATATTTTGTGTTTGTGGTGGATTCAATCGAATATTGAGAAAATGATTTATGTAAAAATGTTTTACTTTACATTTTTTTTGTTTGACGCTTTTTTTTACAGTTTTATGTTTACCTTAAAATTACAAAGAAATATCTTAAAGTCTTATAATAGTAATACACTTTTATATTACGAGTTACATATTTAATTACAGATAATACTTTTTATTTTACGTACATCTGCATGTATTTTCTGAAAGTGCAAAAATACTGTAAATATTATATAGTAAATTTACTGTAAAAAAAAATGAAATAATCGTTATTTGTTGTTATTGTCAAAATACTTAAAATAATGTTTTGGGTTGTTAATTTATAGTTAATATCTGTCATTTTACAGGATTTTGCAAGTTATTTAAAAAAACATGATAATTACTATAAAGATTTACAGTTATTTCCTGTAAAATTACGATCTTTTTTTACAGTGTGGCTGTCCAGGGGAGAGGTGCTGAAACGGGGGGTTACGTATTGTAACCCTAGTTATATAAGCACAGACGGAGCCCTCTACTGGACTCTATGGGTACTACTCTCTATCATGCTGTGCGTGCTTTCACCTACTGAGTTACGTAAACGTAGCCGGCCAATCGGGGCGAGCCTACCTGAATGCGCATGCAGGCCCACAGTATATAAGGCGGCTACGCCCTCCGCCCACTATCCTACACACTCTTCAGCGAGCGGCTTAGGAAAGACAGGGCCTCCAGGTAAAAACCGCGCCATAAGCGGCTGACTGAAGGCTAACCTGCCTCCAAATCCCTCATGGCAGGACGAAATGGCTGCTGCATACACTTTAATTGTGGAATGAGCCAGCCCCCTGTCCACCAGTATCTGTAAGCAGGTAAGAATAGAGCCCAGCGTGCATGACAGAGGCTCTAGACTCCTTCCTTCACACCATCGCCGGAATCCTGCCCACTTTGGCCACGTTGTCAGACAGCAAAAATCACCACTGCTGATGTATTTAATGTCGTAGAACAAAACGTGATCTGTCTCTTCAATTTGTGTCAAACACTTATCTCGAGCTATTTTCCAAAATCCTATGGAGAAATTGCATTGCTTTTTGTCGAAGGAACCGGACGTGGTAAAAATGCTGACATACTTCCGGGTTTTAGGACGCGTCACTGCGGTTCTCTATACACTATACTGATTTTGGAAAATTGCACAATTTAAATCTATTCTAGTAGACCTCAACAATGGAAATATGATCAGTAGAAATGGCCATGACATGGGACCTTTAAAAATCACCGAACTTTGTCGAAATGCAAAATTGAATCAGTGAAATACACCACAGGCTTTTCAAGATGATGTCATAAGGTAGTTCTTTCTCAAAACAAAAAAGTATTTTGCCATCTGACAATAACAATAAGTAATGTTCTTCCATAAATAGGATGACAGGATATTAATATGTGGTTTCCAGAAATAGCTGGTTATACATGTATTGAGGTTGGTATGGATAGGCTAACTCCATTTGATATTATTTAGTGGGAATGCTGATACAGCATTCCAACTATATGTTATGCTACGGACAAAATTCTTATTATTATTCCGGCCACTTATTTTGGCCCTCTTCTCCTCCCACATTCAACATCGCAGAAACTCCGTTCAAACATCAAAATGTTCAGCTCGGTCGGGAATCGCAGGCTTACTTTTATCATTCATAACTTTCATAATTCCAGAGATACATCCCATAATTCATCACATTTTTAACATTTTAACTTTAACATTGCGCAGCTCGTTAAGGCAGAGTGCGTGATGTCACAGCTAGAGGGTAGGAAATCTTGAAATTTGCCTTCATATATTTTTTTAAAACTGCCATAATTCCCAAACCCTACATTCCTGAGACATAATTCTTCATGACAAACGTAGGAAAACATCTCATAGCTTGAAAAATGACAAATAATTAAGCAAAAAATAATTAAACAAAATGCCTCTTGAGGGCATGAAGTGACAAAAACGTTCAACATGTCTCCATTAAAACCCATTGTAATTTCTGGCTTTAGTTAAACTGCCAAAAAGGCCACATTATTAACCCGAGAAAGTCACACAATAAATTACACTTCAGATACTCAACTTTCCTTCTTGACATGCTTCACCATTTTGAAATTTCCCAGATATCTTGTATCCGTTCTTCCACAAAACGTTTCAATGTAAGAGGTTCATCATCTTCATTCAGAACAATGCAAAACCTTTGATCTTACAGAGCTCGTTTACAGCAGTCAAGTGGTCTAATGTTCATCTCTTCTCTCTCTCTCTCTCGCTCTCTCACGGAATGAGATCGGACGCTAGCTCGAGAGGATAGACGGCTATAGCGATAGAGATCGATTAGGAGAGAGCGCGTATAGTCTCGCTCTCGAGAGAGAGTAGATCTCTAGTCTTCTGATCTCTCTCTCTGACTATGCGACTGTAGCTCTATCGCTCTCTCTCTCTCTCTCTTCTCTCGCTATCTCTTCCATCTCCTCTCTATCTCTCTAGATCTACTCTCTCTCTCTCTCTCTTTCCTCTCTCTCTGCTCTCTCTCTCTCTCTCTCTCTCTCTGTTTTCTCATAACTTACAGTGAAAATGCTTTTCCAAACAAGCCCAAAACTTCACCGTTTTGTAACGATTGTAAGCCATCCAACCGCATCTAACCGTCTTTATGGGGTGTCATCCAAATGCCGTTTCCATGGCGACAGGACCACTACGCCATGAAGCACGATCGTCGCTGTACATCCAATGGACACGGTTTCCGATCGTTCCTCCAAACCTTCGCTTGTATATCACCGGTACAGCCCTCAACAGCCTCTACGTCAATTATGGGGTTTCTTCAAATGCCCGTTGCCATGGTAACACAAGGCTCGCCATGAACAACACGGTTTTCTCATAACTTCAGTGAAATGCTTCCAGACAGCCCAAAAACTTCCCAGTGTTTTGGGTAACGATGCAGCCATCAACGCATTCTAACCGTTATTATGGGTTTCATCAAATGCCGTTGGCATGGCGACAGATCATTCACCATCAAGTTAAGTTCAAAGTTTTGCAGTTCAAATTATTTCTGCTGCTTTTCCAAGCCTTTTTACTTTCTTTTTCTTCTCTCCTTCACACATTCAAGCCCCCAGTGTTCATGTATCCATTTCTAATCTAATTCTTCACTTTCTTCTTACACATTACATTTCAGTATAGCAGTTTAGCGTCAGATTTTCAGCATAAAGCATTCCCACTAGCAATTTCTTCAGGAATTGCATTCTCTAGTTTTGTCCTGTAATCCCATGATTACGACATGAATCAGGCCATTTTGCATCTGGGTATGAATTATACGTTATATTATTATATGTTATTATAAAAACATGATTACATTATGACAACACTCCCTGCAGATATGTGTGTGTTTGCTCACATTGAATCTAATACACACACGCTGAGTTTGCACAGCGCTGCTCACCACACAACAACCTGTTAGACAGTACGGACACACACACAGAGAACACAGGCTGCTTCACACACCGCGAACCTGCGCTCACCCCCCCCGCCACAGCCCCTCACTGCGGGACACTCGGGGACCTCTGTGGAGCCCAGGGCTGGAGCCCAGAGCTGGAGCCTTAGCTCCCGTACCGCTGCGGGGAATCTGGCAGCGGTGCGGGCTTAATCTGCCGTCTGCTTCCCGAACGGACGAACCAGTTCACTCCCTCAGAACATTTCACCATCTGTGAACACATGCAGGTCTTACCGGCCCCCTCCTCTTCAGAGAGATGTTCTTCCACAGCAGGAGATGGAGCTGGTGCAGGAATCCCATGTTCCACCTCTGCTTCAGGCTGTCGTTAAATGGACCAAATCAGCATAACGGTGCCGAAGGGGGCCTATGACTGTTTTAAAGAACCGGGGGATTTCTATCCCGTTCACACGCATCCCGTCCGAACCTGGAATGGTGCTCTCATGTGTGGACCTTGGCTTTTTAAAAATACTAAGCGGTTAGAAGAAATGTTTCATTAGCTAGTGGCGGCCTCTAAAGGTGCTTCGCGTTCCGCCTGTCATCCTCCGGAGCAGGAAACAAGTGGACACAGCCTGACGTGAAGTTACTGCAGTCAGGAAAAGGCCACTTCCGCCCTGGCCTTAAAAAATAAAAGCAGTTTGGTATCAGTGTAATAGCCTTAAAGGAAGCTGTTGTGACAGTGATCATAGCATGCCTTTAAAAGTAACGTGCAGTGGTGGATGTAACGAAGAACATTACTCAAGTAGGCCTACTGTAGTGAAGTATGATTTTGACATACTTGTATTTTACCTTCCAATTTGTGCTTGGTTATAATACTTGTGCTCCACTACATTTTTTAGGCAAAAAAGTACCTTTTTTACACCTACCTACCTACTTTTTACATACAAACACAGATGATGACGCTTTTATGACACAACTAATCTACTTAGTATTTAAAAAATATATATAAAAGTGGTTTAACATTGACAAACTCCAACATTAAAATGACATGACATGTATTGGTTGGTGATAAAAAACTGAATTATATCGTTATGAAATACTAAGAAAAAAGCCTAATTATATGTTTGACAATACATTTGCCGGTTACTGTATATATCTGTACTTCTACTCAAGTAACTTTTTCCATTCAGGACTTTTACTTGTAATGCAGTATTATAAGATCATTATATTTTAACTTCTACTCGAGTAAAGGATGTTAGTACTTCTTCCACCTCTGGTGACCAGTCTAAGCCCCCCGATGCACCTACTAGACCATCAGAAATGTTTGAACAGACTATAGTGTTTGTATTTATTATTTTTAGTGTTTTGACTTTTTCTATATTAATTACAGTGTTTGCTCTGTTGGATACTGAAATCACTCCTTCACACCTCTTTACATAGACAACAGACCAGATTAAATATAGATCACTGCTTTTAATTGCGTTGGCACAGAATGCACTCATTTGCAACACCTTTCAAAAATAATGAAGAGTTCTCTCAATCAAATCCAACCACCATTTTTGCAGTCATTTTTGCTCATTATACACACCGTTGTAATGTTATTTACTTTGCATTCAAAACGATAAAAAACATTTTTATATTGGACTACAATTTGCTGCACTTTGTATACATCTATAACACATTTTCTCCAAAGCATACACTTTTGATTGGGATCTTACACCTATTTTCATTGCTTGATGACCAAGAAAGACTTGCAGGTGGTAAGAGCCATTGGGGAATTATTTCCGTCATGGCCGCACAGCAACAGATGTCCTTCTTGATGAATGCTGTGGATGTCTGGTCATACTGTATCTGTAGTAGAGATGTATGAGAGCACAAAGATTATTTCCCAGGTTTATACCGAGACAATGTTGTGTATTTCTACATCTTTTGCTGTCCTGTAGAAAGAAAGGTGAAAACGTTATTGTTCTGGTTTGGATTATGACTGGAATAAGTTTTGTTTCATTATGTACACTTGGAGGGACTCTATGCAATTATAATGGTCAAAGCTTTAAGTTACTAAAGTAAAACGTCTGTCATTTGATGGATTCTTATTTATAATATAAGATCGCCCAAGGTCCTAACCTAAAAAGTTGAGTGGCCCCACTGGGCTTAACTTGGAAAGTGCCACCAAAAGAGACACAATACATCCATAAAAAAGATGTAGCGCCAAAAAAAGAACCAAAATTATCACACGAGAAAGAACACCAAATGGCTGAACAGAAATGGCTAAAAAAACACCGTTTGTGGTAGTGTGATGTTTTTTAAAGTAATGTATTTTCACTATAGTGCTGAGGGCCTTTAACATGTACACACATGGATCTGTTATAATCTGTTCATGGAGTCATAAAAGGTGAGCAAGGTTGTTAATGATGTCAATATAATTACATTTCCTCTAGCCTAAACAACATAAAAGGATTCTACAGAGCAACTAGAAGTCCAAAATTATGATCATAATGGTGTATATATTAAGCTGTTATTTTTACAAGTATTGAACATTTGCAAATAAGTAAAAAACAAAAAGTATTCTGTGGGTGAGAAACTAGAATGGTAAATGGGCTTTGTTTTATTTAGCGCTTCATCCAATATTCGTGAACCCCTAGGCCGACGGTTGGTTGTTATTGTCAATATTATAGTCACACTCGATTTCGCCGATTTTCTTGTTGCCCCAGCTGGTTGACACCTCTTTTAGCAGAAACAAAGGCTACATTAATGTATTAAATCGATGTTAATCCATGTGTGTGGTTGTGGAATTAACAGACGTGACGTTGTGCGATTGCATTGCCAGGCAACAGCTTGGGTTCATGTTAATTTACAAACTCTTCAACTAGAACCCTAGTTATATTTAAAAACATTTTAGAAGGCCTCATGAAATACTTTAACCTGTTAAGCCCTGAGCCTGTTTTTCAGGTCTCAGGCTCGAAAATGACATTCCCAGAACAAATGACCATATCTTCCCTTCTAAAAGGGTTAAATTAATAATCTTTTTTCTCAAAGTAATGATAAACCTGTGAGTTGGATGTAGAAAAGTCAGAACAATATAGATGTTTTTTATTTTAAAGAAAATACAGATTTTACATAGTAAAAAACTGTAAATTATAGTGTCCGTCCAAAAATTATCTTTTACTTATAGTGAAAGCTACCCTTGGATGATGGTAAGGTAGACTAAAAGCTTTAGGAATCCAAAGTACAACATATAATAAGTACCCTGTATCAAGATTGATGCAAAACAAGGGACATTTGACCTTTTTAGAGAGGTTTAGCCAACAAAACTCCACCTCTGAGGTGATTTGGGTGGAAATGGGTTTTTTTCCATATCTCTGGCCCCCCTTTGTCGATTTTGATAGTTGACACCTCTTTCTGACCGTTAGAGCCAATAGAATCGAAGGGGGATTCCCCCACACACACACGTTGTAAAACAAAAAGGTGGGGGCTTTGCGCATGTAGTTTTGCATGAGAGTGAAGCTATCTCTCGCTCTGACATCTAGAAACGGAAAAGCAGTCTTATTGCTCATGGATTATCAGAAATCATTTCAAAGGGACACAGACACATTGGATTAACCTGTTTCACGCCTTCCCCCCGGTACCGGGCGGATAAACGCGTCATTTGCAGGAAACAACGTCTAAGGAATCTTAATATTGAATAAAACTATGAATGTGTTATATCCATGTAACGGGAAGAAACTCAGCTAACTGATCTTTTTAATTTTTTTTTTCAAAAAAAACCCACAATGCTAGCACTCAGCCTCTGAATTAGCCTCGATCGAAAAAACGGGACCGACAAAGACACATAAACTCACTCAGAACTCCCTTATTACTTATCCTAGATGCACAACCAAACACTATTTTTTGGTGTCCTGGAGACACTGAATCTAACGGTGCCCACCTCAACACTCAGTGATAAACATTCGCGACGCTATCAACGAAAGCGTACATCATCACATGTGGAGCCAAGAAGCTAAACATATAAATATGGCTTACCTTGGTCAAAAGTGGTCTTCAATGGCATTAAAACGATAAAAAAACGATGCTGCAGTTAATCCATAGGTTCATCCTATGTGTCTGTGCCTTCTTTGAAATTATTTCTGATAATCCATAAGCAATACAACTGCGTTTTAGTTTCCAAACTCCAGAAGGAGACATTCCTCCAGTTTAGTTTCGCTTTCCACACGCGAAGCGGCAACATTTTTTCTTTACAATGTGTGTCTATGTAGGTATCCTCCTTCGATTCTATTGGCTCTAACGGTCACAAGGGTATGTCAACCAACCAGATCGAGCAAGGGGGGCCAGAGATAGGTCAAATCCACCCAAATGACCCCAGATGGCCCAGTTTTTGGCTAAATCTCTCTAAAAAGGTCAAATTTCACTTGTTTTGCATCAATCTTGATACAGGGTACTTATTATATGTTGTACTTTGGATTCCTAAAGCTTTTAGTCTACTAACCCATCATCCAAGGGTAGTTTTCACTATCTGTAAAAAATAATTTTTGGACGGACACTATAATTTACAGTTTTTTACTATGTAAAATCTGAATTTTCTTTAAAATAAAAAACATTTATATTGATTCTGACACTTCTACATCCAACTCACAGGTTTATCATTACTTTGAGAAAAGATTATTAATTTAACCCTTTTAGAAGGGAAGATATGGTCATTTGTTCTGGGAATGTCATTTTCGAGCCTGAGACCTGAAAAACAGGCTCAGAGTGGAACAGGTTAACCTATGGATTAACTTCAGCAGCGTTTTTATCGTTTTAATGCCATTGAAGACCACTTTGGAGCAGACTACAGAGACAAGGTAACCATGTTAGCATTTTTAGCTACCTAGCGCCACATGTTTTGATGTCTGTTTTTGTTGTTAACGTCGCAATTTCGTATAATTGAGTGACAATGAGGGTACCCTTCGATTCTGTGTCACGTCACGATGTCATGGATGTGGAGAAAAGATAAATAATAAGGTTTTGTGAGTGATTTTCGGTGCAGTAATCTGTTAGCATTTTTCGCTCGTTGCTAATTCACAGGCTCAGCGTTAGCATTGTGGGGTATTTTTTGAAAAAAATAAAAAATGATCAGTTAGATGAGTTTCTTCCCGTTACATGGATGTAAAACATTCATAGTTTATTAAATGAACATGCACTCAGACACTGTTTCCTGCAAGATGTTGCGGCAGTGCCCCGGTACCGGGGTCTCTCGGGCTTAACAGGTTAATGTAAATTAAAATTAAAATGTGAAGGAATGTGTGTATAACAAAATACATCCGTCATAAACAATACCCGAAACAGACGTTGGCAAGATCCTCAGCTCGGTGATTGGATGTTTTAGCCGCAATGCACGTTGGGATATGGTGTTTATGCAACACATTCTCACTCCCAACTCGGCCTATGTTGACGTTATGTCAGGGTCCCTGTCGTCACTTTCCAACGCAAAGGGGGGCCCTTTAGCGTCGAGTTTCAACTATCAGGGAGTCCTATTGACTTGCATAGAGCTCCCTGAACGTTGGTAATAGACGAGTTGGGATCGCGGAGAAATGCTCTCCTCAGATCCATTCTCACAGCGTTTATCAAACTTTTTCTAACTCAATATCAAGCCACACTTATTGTGTTTACTTCT